AAATACTAAATGTTAATTTTTCTCACCAATCCCACACTTAAAAATATTAGTAGTATTAATTAATACTAACTACTTAAATAGTTCAATAATAATTTTTTTATGAGTTAAGTTAAAACAAATAAAAATAAAGTAGAAATTCACTTACATACAAGTTTTATACACTATATTTTCATAAAATTTCAACAATTCATCTTTTTATTTTCAATAATTGAAGTTTATTCATGTTTATTAAAGATAATTATCTTTCATATCTAAAAATTGTGATAAATTTTAATTATGAAAAATAAAGAAATGAATAATTAAAATTTTGTATAAGTGTGATAAATAAAATTTATGTGCAAATAAATTTCTCCTCATAAAACTATTGTTTAAAAAAAATAATGCAATCTAATTAATTTAGTCAATAAAACAAAACAAGGAACTCAAACCAAAAAGATTATAAATGATGTTTAAAAATGTAGGATGGACTGCAAAAATTATTAGTAAATATTGGGTTTAATTTAATAAATAGTCTACTATCTTCTACTTTTCTTTTAGTTTAATCTAGTTTGTTAACTTTCTTACGGTAGTTTCACTTTATTTGATTAAATTAATCTTCAATTATATATATTTTTTAAACTTTTTACTCCTTAAAACTTATTTTGAGATAAAGTTAATTTTGTAAGAATAATAAATTTCTTTTCACTATCCAAAAAATTGTATTTTTTATGACATAATGCTTCAATTTTTCCTTTAATAATTCTCTTTGATTGAAGAAATCATAATTATTGATATGTTTTAATATGCTCCATAGCTATTATAATTTACTTTACTGATTGTGTCTATTCTCTTTTAATTTTAATTTAAATTTTCTGTTATTTTTTAATTAAAATTAATAAAAATTTTATATAATAAATTATTCTAAAATATTTTACAAAATTTATATCCCATTTAAAAAAAAAACTAATTTTCTAAATTAAAATAAAATTAGACTAAACCAATCATTGTATAATAGTTAGCAGACCAATTATTGAATAAAGCCAAGGTAGTGAAAACTACTGGAGCATGCCTCGTTCGCTGTCTTGACATTTTCACATTTTCTTTCCCAAAAAAACACCCCACATCCAGAATCCCAATTTCGCTAAACTCATCGATTCTGCTTCATCACTTTTGCGATTCAAGGTAGATTTATTTTTCCTCAGATTTTAATCATAGGGTTCGTTTCTGTAATTTATATGTTATTTCTTTGCCTCATAGATTGCAGATTCTAGTTTCCTGCTTATATCTTTGAGTTGATTGAGGTTCTAGGGTTTCTGTAATTTTTTTATTTTTCTGAATTTGTGATCTATATGTATATATGAAGTGAGACTGATGTGAAGATATAGGGTTTTTAAAAGGGAAATGGTTTTTTTTAAGCTTTTAAGGTTGTAGAGTTGTTACTATATGTGAATGATTAAGGATATAGGATGGATTTAAAATAAAGAAATATGTTTTTGTTGCACTGGGAATAGTTGCTATTTTAGCTGGGGGATTAATTGAAGTGGAAAGTAAACCCGGCTGCGGCTTCGGTTATAGGTTATCATGGGTTGAAAAGTTAATGACAAATGTAAGATGGGTGATATTAAAGTGTAAATGGGGATCTTACTGGCTACTACAGCAGAAACCATGTATCAATCCATCAATTTCATAGTTATCTGAATAAACCAGGCAGCTTCCTATTTTTCGAAGTTATTGATCACTTATTTGAATCTTTTCAGGCACAGGAGGTGAATAGCTTAGTTTCTGATGCTAGATTTTTCCTTATGGAAACTGATAAACATATTGAGAACTTATTGGAAACTTTTTATGCTAGTCATGTTTTGACTTGAGCATTAAGCACCTGAAAGCATGAACTTGAGATTGATTTTGGAGTATGATATAAAAATTAAAAATTAATTTTGGTACAGGTGCGTTCTGCTGAGTCTGTTAGAGTTGAAAACTTGCCTTTATGTGCTGTTGCACCACAATTTTGTCATGCACCAATGTAATTTTTGGGTTCATAATACAGATGAGGTGCAAAATCTGATGCAATGGCAACATCTAGCAAGTTCAATCTGTCTTCTGGTAGCCCAGATAGGGCTTTATACCCTGGTGGAGAGCGTGTGTCCCACTTAGCTTCTCAGTTGGACAGATCAAGTACCTTCCACGAGAGCATTGAGACTCCAATCTTGGCTTCTCTTCCAAATGTGTCGAGAAGCAGTTCTGTAGTAACTCAAGGAGATGTGTCCAGTTTCCTGCAGTGCCTGCGGTTTGATACAAAGGCAGTTGCTGCTAATCATAAGTCTAATTGTCAAGGAGACTTAAAAAAGCTCTTGAATATTGCACTCGGTATTTCAGCTGATGAACCTTCTACTGGTTCATCAAAGGGCAAGCTGTTATTATCTCCCACACCAGAAGAAATAAAACGGGTCAGGCATGGCTTGTGTGAGAGCACTATCAAGGCCAGGTAGTTCTTGTTAAATTTTGCAATTTGGATTCATTTGTGTTTATTTATTAAATTTAATTAGGTAACAGGGAACGAGTGAAGATTTTCAGTGAAGTCTTATCCGTATTCAACAAGTCTTTCCCAGCCATACCCTCAAAGAAGAGATCTCGATTGGAAGGCTTTTCAGTTGACCATTCTAATGCTTCCTTATCTAGTGAGCGGTCAGTGTTGGGTCCTACCCCTGGTAAGATGGAAAT